ACATGTGCTAGCGTTTATAAACCTCCCACTAGCGGGCACAGTAATCAGTAATCATGACCATATCCGAGACAAAACCATGCAGAATTTACAGAAAAATACAAATTTCACAATCAATCCCGAATTTCAAAAGTAACCAGAAAATTCCATGTGGGCATGGATTTATCAGAAAACTCAGAATTTGCAAACTCTCAGTTCATCAAAACAGTTCAGTCAATTCCAAATAGGCATGCTGTACTCAATACCAATGAAAACAATTTCATTTCAAACCAATCATGCTCGGTGCAATAACTCCAGAAAAACAATGAAATTCTCATTTTCATTCCAATTATGTTCAATTCCAGAAAACAGTGAAATTCTCATAAAAACCATCACAATTTACATTTCAATTTAATCATACTCAGATACTGATAAAATCAGTTTAAAGCTTGCCACCATCTCAAAAACAATTAAAACATGCTTTAAAATCGAAGGGCTTTACCATAATTTACTTACCTCAATCGCACCAACAGCACCCTAATCCCAAGTGCTAGAGGGCAGAATAATCAAGTACCTAATCAAAATATTTCCCAAAATTAATACCCATCTAAAACAACACATTTAATCCTTTCCCAATAGCTGACACTTAACCCCCATAATACCCCATCAAATTCTCCCATTTACTCACGGACAACACATGGAGAGCATGGCTTGGCAAACCACAACTCACACAGGATTTTCTCTCCAAAACATCACAACAACCTAATTAGCAAAATCCCTACATGAATTTAGCAAGAAAAATCACCTCACTTGCTGTCGGAATTCTCCCCTTTTTCAGCAGAAAATCCGAACAGCACCAGGGCAATTTAAGGTAGGGAATTCAAATATTCAAGGCAACAATCAATTGACAAAATCCAAGCTTATGGAAGCTATCATCTTACCGGAATTTCTAGCAAGCAAAACCAGATCTGGCGGTATGGCAGGGGCGGGATTCACAAAGAACTAACACGAAATTGACAGAAATAAAGTAATTAGAATGAACCCAAGCCAATTTAGAGCTGAAGGGAGGAACTCATGGCTGTTGCTTACCAGAAAAAGCCCAGAGATGCGCACCCAGCAGCAAGGAACTCACGGCAGAGGGAAGAGAGCAGATCTGGAAAAGTTCTGGGTTGAGTAGATGTCCTAGAACGAGAAAAGGAGGAGACTTCTCCAAGTTTTACCGGTGTTCCCGGCCGGAAAAAGGGGTGGCGGTAGCTGGGGCTTGTCGGCTTGCAGAGGGTCGGGGAAGAGGAGAAACAGGACACGCGACTGGATAAGGAAGAAAAAGAAGAAATAAAAAGGAACTTCTTGCCGACCTTATCCAGATTGCTTTCTTTTAAACCCCTTGACTTCAGAGCATTTTACTATTAAGTCCATTAATAAAAATCTCTCACAACTAAGTCCCTAAAATTTGGGGATATTACAATATCCTTCATACAGTAATGGATGACCCTATGACAAAAGATAACATAAATGCAAGACTTGATCTGGAATTGTATTGTAAAAGGAAAAGTTTG